TACGTTCTGCTCGAGGGGACAAGAGGGGACCTTCGCCGTTGAGCTCGCGTTGTCTTTGATCGGCTTCTGCAAAAAGGTCACGGCCCTTTGCTAAATCGACGAGTGTTTCCTTAGTGGGACCAGATCGATCTGGCTGCTGAAGTTTAATGTCCTTAACAGACTTTTCCTTTCGTTGACGGGCCATGGTCGGCAGTTGATAGAAGTTGTGTTGTAAGATAAAGCTCTGGGACAACTTTGAGTAAAGTTCAGAGTTGAGGTTCACCTCAGGCTAACGTCAACGTCAACAGGTTGCCCCAATGGGCTTAGCTCATGACGCCGGAATGGAAGCTTCGGGCCCTGCCGTGCTCAACGCCACCACCCAACCTTCTGTAAATTGAGGGGCTAGAGGGGCAATCCTCGAGCTTCAGCTGAGGCATCGGGACAGTCTAGTGAGGCGGTGAACCGTTAGGCGCAGGTCTATGGGGGGTTGCCTTAGCGATTGGCATCTGGAGCCTCGTGAGCTCCTGCCCCTCCATGACCAAGTTTCACTTGTTATTTCTCGCGTCTCGTGCCACTTTTGTCTCAGCCATCACAACTCGTTCATGACCCGGGTCACGACCAGCTTCCGATAGGAGCCAAGTCTTTGCTCTTAACAACTCAATTGACCTTTGTGTAGCTTCTAGTACCTGCTCACAGCTCATATAGACCTTGCGCTACTGTAGCGATCGTCATCCACATCCATCCAATACCCAATAGCCGAAATCGCAGTTCTCTAGCAATCTTGTCGCAAAAGTAACCGTATCACCACCGTATTCGAAGCGAGCGACCGCAGTTATGAACGTTCTTCACATCTTCGCCGGCCTCGCCGTTGTGGTGCCAGGCATCTACATGTTCACTGCCAGCACTGCCCAATCGACCATCAAGAACAAGCGAGTTTGTCTCTTGATCGCGCATCCCGACGACGAAGCCATGTTCTTCTCCCCGACCGTCCTCGCCCTCACACGGCCCGAGAACGGAAATCACGTCAAGATTCTATGCCTAAGCACTGGTATGAGCCGACTGCAGCGACCCGTGCTTCGCAGCCGCATCGTGATGCGACTATGCAAATTGGTTGAAAGCAGTTTTGGCTGATGGTGACTTTGGCGTGTTATAGGAGATGCCGACGGATTAGGAGAAGTTCGCAAGAAGGAGCTGGTCAAGAGCGGCCTGGCGCTGGGTCTGCAGAGCGAGGACGATGTTTTTGTGGTCGACAACCCGTATGTTGAATACCTTGGTCACTGTCACAGGCATTTTGCAGCCCAAGAAAACTGACTGATACCTCACTTATAGGACCGACTTCCCCGACTCCATGACGAGAATGTGGGACAAGAACCTGATTGCTCGTCTGCTAGGAAGCACGTTTGCGCCTAAATTTGGCCAGGAGCGTAAGAACAATCTGAAGCCCACTGCCAACATTGACATCCTCGTTACATTTGACAGCAATGGCGTGTCTTCTCATCCCAACCATATCTCTCTCTACCTTGGTGCCAGATCCTTCATCCAGGCCCTTACCACTGCGTCCGAGTGGCCGAGCCCCGTCGATCTATATACCCTTTCCACCGTAGGCATCGTGCGCAAGTACTCCGCCTTCATGGACTTTATTCCCACGCTACTCTCATCCATTGGTGGCAGGGATCAGGATAAGGAGCGACCCGAAAGTCTGGTATTCATGAACCAGCTCGTTGGTCGTGGTGCCTATGGCACTGCTTGGAGCGCCATGACACAAGCGCACAGAAGCCAGATGGTCTGGTTCCGCTATGGCTGGATCACCCTCAGCCGGTACATGGTCATCAATGATCTACGTCTTGAAAAGGTTAAGCCACAGTAACGAAAACGAAAAGTAGAGCGAAGGAACCGCATGGCACGGGGAGTTTGGAACGTATCTTACATATTCACTATTTGTCTGTACGACCTTGGCGTACGATATACTTTTGTATCTTACTTGCATGTAAACATGAATATACGATAACAAGGCAGGATGTCTAGAATGTAAAACACTCGATGGTTGGGGTCTGGTAGTATAAGCATGAAACATTGGAAAGATATTATGCATTACGAATACCATGTCCTGGTGGCTCTAGGATCCGTCTACCTAAACGCCTTGAAGAAAACATAATTTCTGCGGAGCTCATGTCTCACTAGGTCCCCTTGATCGGCTTCTTCTGCATAACCTGTTTGAACACTTGCAGTGCAGTCTCAGGTTCTATTCCTTTGTCAGTCGGGAATCTTGGGGCGATGTCAGTGTACTCACGATAATATGGCACCGAATGGCCGGCCTCCCAGACCTTGAGGAAGGACAGATTCTCTACCGTCTTGTATCGGCCATGGGCTGTGCCGTTGACCGTGTAGTTGCTGAAGGGCGCTGCTACAAACTTCTTCTGGCCAGGCCACTCGAGCGCATAAGATGCCCATAGGACACCCTCCCAGTTGCAGATCCAATCTGTGAGAGTAAATCAGTTCTGTTCTACTTGTGTCACCAACCTCCCACTTACCAGTATCTCCAGCCCACAGAAGCGTGTTGATGCCACGCTTCACAACGTCTGCCAAAGGCCCGACATATGAGCGCGCACCTGTACCATGTCAGCATTAATCCTTAACTTCGCCGTCGTAGGGGCACTGACCATCTCCAGTCGTCGCCATGTTTGCATAAACGGTGTCACTGCACTCGGCGAAACGGGTGTTGGCTCCAATCGCATCCATGACCTCGGCCCGTGTGAGATAGTCAAGGAACGTCTCTGGCGGGTCGACATCATCCCTGCCGATACGCACATCGTAAACGTTGAAGTCGGTTCTGCCTGCAATCTCGAGGTTGGTGTACATTTGGGTGTTGCATGCATCGTCAGCCTCTGCGCATTCATCATCTTGACCCTCAAGTTGGGTGCAGTTGTTGATGACGGGTAGACAGTATTTATCGTAGGCATCGATGAAACGAGTGAGGAGTTTGTCGCTAAGAATCTGTTTGTAGGGGTTGCGGTTGGCATATGTTGCGTAGGATTTGAACTGGCGCTTCGGATCGATCCAGCCGTTGTTGATGCCCAGCGCTACCATATCGATCTTGTGGCCTTCAGCATCACCCTTCTCGATTTGGTCATTCTTCTTGAGGAAGTAGTCGGCAAATTCAGGGCCGTAGTGTCCACCGTAGGATTGCGTAAAGAGACCAAACTCTCTGGATTTGTATTTGGGAAATCGGTCCAGGAAGACTTGCATGAATTTCCAGATATAAGGGGCAGCTTGTGCTGTAGAGTTGACATCTTCGGTTCCAACACTGAAGCCAGTACCGATTGGCTGATCGATGTAGAGCATGTTCGCGTATTCGTTCCAGGAATGAGGGTTGAGAGACGGTTCGGTGTCGTTATTGACAAAGTGGCAAGGGCCATGCTCCGTGAAGAGTCCTATCATTGAGGAACATCCAGGACCGCCGTTGAGCCAGATAGCGAGGGGGGCCTTCTCAGCATTGTGACGAGCTTCGAAGAACCAGAACCACATGCTATGGTTTTTCCCTGCATTAATCCATGAGCAAGGACCTTAGGGCACCAAGTAGGATCAGCTTACCAACAGACAAGTAGCCAGAGTATTGGCCAACACCAGGTGTCGTCTCGCAGATTCCTGAATTGGTCACATACTCGAGCTTCGAATTGGTAGCGGCATGTTTGAAGACAGTAAGTCCATGGCGTTCCAAGGTTCTGAACTGTCTACTATCAGGAGCAATACCACCGAAAGCACTGACCGATCCGATGAGGCCTACAAGAGCCGTCGAGATAGACGAGAAGCGCATTTTAACAATGTTGTATGATGATGCTCCTGTCGCCCACGCAGGAACAAACAGAGGCAGGAGTTTATCTGTTTATAAAGTCAAGCATCCTGCCCTGCCCTGCCCTGCCCTGCCCGCTCCTTGTGGGACGAGATCCTGGTTACCTACTCGGCGTTGTCAGGATCTACATTCTAACTTAGGTTCTACTGTACAATAAAACGGGCATTGATGGTTCAAGTGTTTGGTTTTATCAGGCTAGACTGTTTCTCCGATTGATTGCAATGTTCCAAATCTGTTGTGACGTGCACCTAAGAAGGATGCGCGCTTGGACGGATGTGTCCAAGCATGGTAGCTCCGTTGCTTCAGATTTCGGTGCATCGCTTTTTGTTACTTGGGTCTGTGGACATACAGCGGATTTAAATTGTCCGTAGCTTAAAGGATCTGGAGAAACGCGAATGTAACTCAAACATTGGTTGTGATCGTGCGTTGAGGAAACATTGCCCTTGTCTTGTCCATCAATAACGATTCCTTAATAGGTCTGATCGACAGGGGATACAGGGGATCTACTGAAAGGATATTCTAGCCGCAGAATCCTACCTAGAGAATGCCTTCGCTTTAAGACTGAGCATTTCTCCCTTCAGCCAAAGCAAATCAAAGCCATGACTACATGTCGGGTCAGGATCTACCTTACCTAGTCAACAGTGACTTAATGTGAAAAGCGAGCGATCCGAGCGGGTGGAACGATACAGCAAGCAATCTGAGAGGCTATACAAGCGGCAGTTTGCAGGTTCAACAGATAAAATCTGATGGATTGTTTCACAGCATGGATCACCATTTATTAATTGTAACTTGACGCATATCTTGAATATTTTGTTCGACTTCGACACTGCAAATTGCTCTTCATGTGAAAAATGAATACGATCTATACATATATAAATACGATGCACCATTTGTGGTACACAGTACTATAGCTAGGGCATACTGCGAGGATCAATGAGATTTGGTCCAGCACTGTCTTGTCCCTTCAACAATTATACCAACAAAGAATCGTGGCGGCGATATTGATGTTTGGTGGCCCAAGTGTTGAGTATCTATAGATGCATATCCCAAAACAGTTGACAATAGGTCAGCTTCTCAGCTAGGCGCCATTTCCCCTCTCCTACAATAATGAACCACATCTCTCGTATCTTGATCCCATTTGTGATATCCTAGAAACCCCTGCCAACTCAAAATGTTTTCCGGTGATCTCGCCTATGTACGCCCAGCTTCAGCGCACAAGCAGCGAAATGCCATGTCTATCGCTCTTCGTGACATGAAACCTGCGAGAACACACGAGACTCCTGTTGAGTGCTACACTCCAGACGAGGACACGAGCCACAAAGAAATCACCGAGCGAATGCTGCATCAGAGAAATGGCTTGACAGAAGGTCAAGAAGCCACGATGTACACACTGAAAGCTCAGTTGCACGACAACGCCTTGTCCACAGCCTAAACACCACTTGGGACGCTGGCTTTTACTTGTGGCCGTACAAACACCTAGCTTATATTTGTTCATCCTCAGCATTGGAGCGAGATCTTCGATTCATATTCTGAGGCTGTTTCTAGACATCCTTCTACTTGGCTTCAACCCTGTATACTCCCTACGGCTCTGTTCCTTTTCACCACAAGGAGAAAGCGCCGGTAGAGGATTGTCGGAGGATTTCACCAGTAGGACAAAATCATAGTGATACTATCATTCATAAAAGGACATAAATCGAAGCACCTACGTGCTACACCGGTTCCTAATGTTGGACGTTCATAGGTGGTCGCTTTGTGTATATCGGTTTCCAGTAATGTATATACACCCACAGCAAGGATTCATAGCTTCTCATCCAGGAGAAAACAAATAATGCGTCATTGGACTGTCCTTTCACACGGGTTAATATGTGAATGGATACATCAAATATCTGGTTCGTTGCATGGTCTCAATACGTGCCTGGGAAGTCTCGGTTATCCTTGAGATTAGCTATCCAATTGATGTCAAGTGGAAAGGTATGTGAAGCAGTAAGAGAACAATCTGTGATAGGAGTTATGGATGCAATGTTAGTTACGTTTTCCTCAATGGGAAAGACTCAGCTTATCCTTGAGGAGCAAGAAAACCGCAACCTTTAGCTGAGGTGCCGAGAATAGTTAGTGGTCTCGAGGCTTATTAACCCTCCGATTGCTTGGGATGGAGGCTAATTCGTAAGTAATAGCTTCCCTGTGTTCCCATTTCTCTCAGACCATGCCAGAGTCTTGCGGCGAGGACGGATCGTACATCCGAATGTGTCTAGAAATAAGCATAAGATAAGCTTCTCGACAATCAGAGGGCCAAGTTGGTATATTTAGCCGACGAGCCTCGACTGGTCTCTTGCATGGATCGTTTTGATGTGCCCAATTGGAAAGAGATGATGTCCATAAATCTGCGACTGATGCCTCGAGACCCCAAGATTCTCCAATGTCAAAGATAGACAAGGTCGGATATTATTTATGCGGCCGAGTCATTTTCCTTAGGCTGCGGGATATCTCCCCCGACTTTATCAGCCACCCCGCGGTTTCGGGCCTGCGGGGGAGCGTTGAAAGCCGGGCCGGCCAACCAGCAGCGACTGGGAGTCCGCTATTGGCATGACGTGTTGGGGTCCGCAGTGAAAGCGACTGGGGTTAGAAGGTTAACTTTTGGCAAGGCAAGGATAAGGAAACCGATGTCTCCAATGAGAAGGGGTCGTGTAATTCATGAAGAGACTTTTTTGAGCTTGTTCAGACATCATATGATTGTTTGTCTTTTTTACATTCACTGTTACATACCCAGGTTGGGACTGAAAACGCAGCCTGTCAATCATCTCTTAGCACTGACGTTCTTGTGGATTTTGAGCATTGAAAGGAATGAGCTGTTTGAACCCGCAACCTCTTGGCGCTCGTCCTGATAAGATAGAAGCGAAGAGGATGGACTGGGCAATAGAGAAAAGAAAGGACAGAATAACCCGAGTCCGAGAATATAAGACAGAGCATATTGAGGAGAGACCTGAAAGGGAGTCAGAGTCAGGGCCAAGGGAGAACAGTGCCCTCGGGGAGAAGCCCATTGCATTGTATTGCATTGCCAGTGCAAGTGGAAGTGGAAGTGGAAGTGGAAGTGAGCAAACCACAAACTCACCCCAAAGCCCAAACGGAAGGTGCACCCCGGACGGGAAGTCCCCTACTCCTTGCGCTTTCCACTCAAATTGCCAGGGATATTGTCTTTTGCCTGCGTGGATTGCCTGGATTCTTTGGAGAAAGAGGGGCCATGCCGATTTCCATTGTTTGAGCGTTTTAGCGGAGGGTGAATTCGAAGCTGCTGTTTCCTCAATCCCAACCCCCAGGCACACGTACCCAAGTCTCCACGACTTTTCTTCAACCTCATATCTTGGCTTTCTTACAAAGTTGATTTTGCCGGAGACAAATCAAACACCGATCTCTTCGCTTCCAACTCTTTCATCCCGCGGAATGTGATTCTTTGCTTATGATAGCGAATACACTTGAGAAGCTGCTGATCACTGTCGTTGCTTTCATCTTCAGTTCAACCTTGCATCACACTGAGTTATTGGCGGTTTGACAATATTCATCTCTGACGACTTGATTCACGAACTACTGCGATCACCTTCTCGGCATTCTTATTCGATCTGTTATCTCGTCCTTGGCTTCTACTTTATCTCATTTCTCAACAATACTGCAACAAAATACTGTTCCGTTGTCTATCGTCGATCCCCCAACGCCGTTCCTCCGTAGCTGCCGCTCCGGTTCAACTTTCGGATCACCCGGACATATGAGCGACAACTGCCACTTCCTCGATTTCTCAGGTGTCACAACTTACTCTCATTTCTGCGATCGGCCAAGCATATCAAGAGAATTTTAAGCTTAATTCTCGTCCAACTCACTTGCTTACTCCCATATTGGCCTTGTGAGATCCCGATCTCGGCATCATGCCTATCTCACCACTATGGGCTCTTATGCCCCGCGGCGACCATTCCTCATCGCCAGAGAGCGATGATTCTTCGTCTTCAGGCACCACGGGAAATGTATATCCCTCAGATTCATTTGCAGATGACCTGTTTCGCGATAAGTTCATGAGCATCGCCAAGGGAGGCTCCAATGGGGAGAAAATCATGCGTGGCTTTCTGATCGGTCTCGCCATTGGCCTAGTCGTCGCATGCTTTGTTTGCTGTTGGTACCCATGCTGTCGACCACGACTCCAAAATCAGCGTCGAAGACAACGAAGGCGCCGAGGACCCCCCGCAGCAGATGAAGAAGAAAATGCAGAAAGTCATGTACCTCCTCCTGCATAGCGTTGACCACAGCCGGATCACGGATATGGAGAGGGGGGGTTGGCGTCAGCGAGTTGACGTTATAACCGAAAGTAAAGCGGTGACCGTTTCACTCGTGACAACTTTCGAAAAACGATCTTGATTGAAGACAGCATGCAAGATCGATATGACACGATACGAATACACGAATAAGCGCAAGAAGACTATGCATAGAGTTGCGAACCATCAGCTTTGAACACATCACTCAGCACGCACGGGTTCATTCACAATGCAACCGATAGGTCAGATGAAAGTGTTGTATGGCCGCGGGCCCGAAGAAGAGCTTTGCACATAAGTACTGCAATTACTCCTGCCAGGTCAGGTTCAGGTTTCGTGTTGTTGGTCTGGCATGGGGGAGCCTGGGGAAGCGCGACGATAGCTACGCATAACCCGGGGACCTTTGCAATCGAGGGGAGAGGAAGAGGCCGAACATACTTAGATCATTAAAGGTGAACTATGGCATGAATTCCAGGAAGGCGCTCCAAAAAGGACATGGCATTGAATTTGCATTGGATACAGGGCGTTCAGGGACGATGTATGCATTTGGGACTGTTTAAAGGCTACACCACAGCCGGCGTGGATTAGCATGTGGAATTTTGGGCATCTCACGGCGCTTTCGCAGTCTGTTAGACAAAGAGAGGAGAGTAGAGAGTGTCAGTTCTCTACAATAACAAATCATACCCTGTATATTTAATAATGTGATACTTGCATACGCAATGGAATGAAATATCAAGTCCAAAGCTGACGCAAAGGACGAGGCTCAAACGATCTGCTTCTCATTGGACGCGCGTTTAAAGATGGATGAACATGCTTAATACTCTCAGCATCGCCCATTGGTAGAGTCGCCATTAGAAACCGATCCCTGAGACCAGTCATCGGACAGTCGCAATCCGATATATAAACGCGACAAGGTGCAGGACTGGAATAGTAACACTTGAGCGACACCAAGGTAAAGAATCTGCACAGCCTCTTTGAGTGCCTAATGTAGCAAGGGGATGCAATAAAACTTAGGACCTCTATCCTAGGTGACAAAAAGCCTTAGGTAAACTTAGGTAGATTTAGTAAAGTTTTAGAGGATCTTAGACTAAGTATTTTTAGCACCTCAGTTTAACGTCAGAAGTCTTCTTAACACCCCAAGGTGTAGTAGGTATCGGTTGTGGCGTTGGGCGGATTTGGTACGTCACTAATGCGAGACCGAGCACTCGTAGTTTCGATTAGCGAGTAACGAAGTAAATAGGTAAATAGGTAAATAATTCAAGCAAGTACAGAGTACATGAATGTTGTTTGTCTCTGTGCTATTCAAGAATAAGCCATTCCCTTAGATTTAAGCTGATTAACTGTTATCTGATTGCCTTTATACCCATTCATCAGCCAAGTCTTCAAAGTCCTTGTGACCCTTCCCGATCAGTCACAAGCTGTACTGTATGTAGCCTGTAGGTAGCTGCTTCAAGGCAGCCCCGCCTCCAAGTCTCAGCCTGCCGCGCAATTGTCTTGTCTGTCGGACTTTTCCTTGCAACTTCGTATAACTACCTCTCTTCCTCAAACTCCTTCTTGGACCATTCCTGAATCACAAGCGACTCACTTCTTACGACTTACACCCTCTTATACGTCTTGTGTTACACCCGACGGGTTACGACGTCATCCCACGTATTAGCTCTGCGACACCAAGTCAACAATCGCATTGAGCTCTAGACAACCAATACAGTTGGCAAGATGCTTGACGAAAACCTCCCGACATATCGCTTCAAGACCTCTTCAGAGAATCCACTCAATAATATTCTCTACTTCACACACAATGGATCAGACCCCGCGCCCGAGTACCTCATCAAGCGACCGTCGCCTTCCGAAGCCAATGGCCAATATGCGCTCGGCATATTCGACTCTCAGAACACATCTGTGATATACGCAGAGGTCGATGTCAAGCCTGACTGGGTAGCGCCCACTCTATCTGCTGCTGAAATCCGCGCGCAAAACGGAAACCCGCCGCCCAAGACACCTATCATCCCAGATACTTTTGCGGTTTCGTTGTACAACCCCGATCAGGCTATTCCCGTCAAGCAGCAACCAGGAAGTTGGGGAAAGACGGGTGCTTGGGAGTTTGAGCTTCCCGAGAGATCCTTCAAACTACCCAGTGCTA